GTGGTGGGTCACCCGGCAGCTTCATGCTAAAATTCTTCTAGGCCAAGTAAATTAAAACTCAGGCTCCAGTGAGGGTGGCAGCTACAGGTCAGGTGACAGGTTCCTTTTTCTTGCCAGCCTTACAGAGAGATCTTTGATTTCTTCATAGAGGATTTCAAAACGTACAAGCCATTGCTCTCCTCCATCAAGAATGCATATGAAGTGATGCTGGGTAAGACTGCAGCTTCCCCACTTGGGCCCAGACCGGAAGAGGCAGAGAGGATCCTACTCTGACCTTCTGGGGCTTTGCAGCACCTCTGGGGCAGCTACTAACTGAGCCTTGAGGTCACCAAGTCCTGCTTAGCCTTTTTGCTTTCACTGTCCTAAGACAGGGCACCAGGCCATCTCCTAAACTTGGGAAGCATGCGGAGGCAGATTCCATAGGAAATAGAGCATATTTTCCATTGAGAATGATCTCAGAAGGGAATGTGTCTGGAAAGTAAGAAGGCTCTCCTATCAGGTTCAGAAGGTGCTAGGCCTGGTGCAACTGCAGGATTAAAGGCAGTAGGGGGAAAGGGCATAGGCGAGACCCCAGTCCTCATCTGAACTCTGTCCTGGTTTAAGAGCAAGTGCAAGTCCTAACTGGTTTGGTTCAGTGGATAGAGCATCGGCCTGTGGGACTGAAGGGTCCCAGATTCAATTCCAGTCAAGGGCCTTGGTTGCGGGCCAGCCCATCCCCAGTAGGGAGTGTGCAGGAGGCAGCTGATGGATGTTTCTCTCTCATCAATGTTTCTAACTCTATATCCCTTTCCCTTCCTCTCTGTAAAAAAATCAACAAAATATATATATTTTTAAAAGCAAATGCAAGAAGGCCTTAAGTAGGAGCCACAAGGCATGAGTATACTCCTAGTTTCCAAGAGCTGTAGCCACTCAGAGACCTTAGGATTAGTTTCTCCTCACTGTTCTCCATGGCCCTAAAGGTTTCTCCCACCTGTCCCTGCTTAGCCCACCAGAGGGAGGAGATTCGGGCTCTGAAACCCCTGAAGGCCAAGCTTGTCACAGTGAATGAGGACTGTAACGAAAGGATCCTGGCCATGAGGGCTGAAGAGAGATCCGAAATCTCCATGCTGAAGAAAGAGAAGATGGGTTTGCTAAAACTCATTGACAAAAAGAATGAGGAGAAGATCTCATTGCAGAGCGAGGTGAAAGGGAGCACTATGGTGACCAGCTCCCTGAATCCCTACCACGCCCACCCCAGGGGTGATCCTAAGCCTTGGGACTGAAGTGACTCCCTAACTCCCTCCATCCTTCTGCGTGGAATGACATACTGAGCCATCATCTCCCCAGAGCTCCTGCTACCTCCACACTCCACTATGGCTCAACATCGGCTCAGTGTGGCCCCAAACGCCAACAGAGTTCTGCTCCTTGACTGCCAGACTTTCTCCACAGACACATAGGCACTTTACTGATTCTCAGTGGCCAGTTTCTCTCTTCCTCTACCTTTGTTCCCAAGCCTTAATGGGGCCACTCAGCACACATCCCATCCCCCTGTGGTGACTTAGCCCCTGAATGTAACCACCTTCCCAACAGGTGACCAAACTGAGGAAGAGCTTGGCTGAGGAGTACTTGCGCTACCTCACCGAGCGAGATGCCCGCAAGATCCTCATTGCAGACCTGAATGAGCTACGGTACCAGCGGGAAGACATGTCACTAGCCCAGTCCCCAGGTAAACCTGAGGTGGGGTTCTCTCTCCTGAGGAAGTGCTGGAGAGGAATTGCTCCTATTACTCGCTCCCATTCATTCGACTCTCCTCATATATGTTCATTTTGTGCCCATTCATGATGGGAGATATTCCTGCTACCACCTGGGTCTATGGATCTTCTGAGCTGGAATGAGAATCACAGACTCATTGTTTAAGTGGGATATAATTTCTGACAGCTGAGGCAGCCTAGGCAAGATAGACCTGGTACCCCTTGTTCTGGGGTTTTTTAAGTCCTCAGCCATGGCTGGTAGCACTGTGAGAAGACCCAGGGATTCCCAAGCATGGAGAGCAGAAGGACCTGGGATATACCCCAAGGGACACTCTCACCTTGACCTGGGCTATAGGCCCCAGAGCCAGGGTGATTCGAGCTGCCAGGCCTCCTGGCAGGTATCTGGGGGGAGGACCCCGTGAAGTTAACACTGGCTCTGAAGATGACCCGGCAAGACCTGGCCCGCACGCAGATGGAACTCAACACCATGAAGGCCAATTTTGGAGATGTGGTGCCCAGGAGGGATTTTGAAATGCAGGAGAAGATCAACAAGGATCTACAGGAGCAGGTGCTGGTGGGCAGGCAAGCCAGGCAAGTAGGGCAGGGTCATGCAGGTGGATAGCAAGGATCAATCACCTTGCCTACAGCTGGAAAGCCTGAGAGACGACTATGAAGAGGTTCGCAAGGAGCATGAGATACTGCTACAGTTGCACATGGTCACGCTGAAGGAACGGGACCAGTTTTTTACTGAGCTGCAGGAGATCCAGCGCACCTCCACACCACGGCCTGACTGGACCAAGTGCGAAGGTAATGATGGCCACTGAAGGTAATTGGTGTTCCAAGGACTGATCAAGTGCACGGTCCAGACTCCAGCTTCCTCTCTCCACCTGCAGATGTGGTGGCTGGGGGTTCAGAACGCTGGCACATGCTGGCTGAGGGCAAGAACAGTGACCAGCTGGTGGATGTGCTCCTGGAGGAGATTGGCGAGGGGCTGCTCCGGGAGAAAGACTTCTTCCATGGTCTGGTAGGGGAGTCCCTGGGCTCAAGAGACTGTGGCCAGTCATAATGGCCAGGGCTTGCTGCTGAGAAGACTTGATGTTCTGGGGGAACCCTCTGGGATGCTGCCCTGCTTAAGGTTGGGGTCACAGGTGCTCTCAGTGATGATCTGACACTCTCCCTTCCAGGGCTATGAGGAATCCATCCTTCCCCCTTTCCTTCGGTATGATGGTGTTGTGGAGAACAAGAAGCCAACCAAGAAGGATGTGATAAACCTCCTCAAGGATGCCTGGAAGGAACGTCTCATTGAGGAACAGGTCAGATCTCACTAGCCATCTAGCCAGGCGTGGCCTCCAGAGTTATCCTGGGAGGAGTGTGGGGAGGATTCCATCAAGGTGCTAGAAAGCAGGGTGGAGGGTCAACTAACCATGGGATGGCTAACAAATTAGTCTTCCCCTATACTGCAGAAAGAGAAGTTCTCGGATTTCTTCTTCAATTTCCTGGAGTATCGCTTTGGGTCTACTGATGCCATGGCCTGGGCTTACACAATTTTTGAAAATATTAAGCTCTTCCGCTCCAATGATCTCATGCGTCAGTTCTATGAAATCTTAACGGAAAAGGTGAGCTTGGGTCTCGCCCTCTACCCTTTGTCCCCAGCATAGGCCAGCTCTGTCTTTACCCCTCCAAAATTCAAATTAGTGCTTCCCTCCCCACAGAAGAGTGAAAGTGTGTTCATCAAGCAGAAGGAGACAATAACACAACTGCTGAAGGAGTTGACAAATGTTGACAGTCAGAACGAGGGGCTACTAACCATGGAGCAGTTAAGGTAAGAGGCCGACCAGGCCACCTCAAACTCCTGCCTGACATCCCCTCTGGCCAGGCTCCCAGATGTGCAGGGGAAAAAGGTGAGTCTGGTGGGTAGGGCCACAGCCTCAATGCTGGCAACTTTTGAGCACTAGTGGGGCCGGCAAAAGGGTGCAAGGAGATGGGTGGGTAGGCCTCAGCCAGGCCCTTTTGTCTCTCACAGCACTGTGCTCAAGAGCACCTTCCCCTTCAAGAAGGAAGACAAAATTCAGGAGCTGATGGAGGCAGGGGGCTGGCATGCCAATAGCAGCAATGCAGACTTGCTCAATTACCGTGCACTGTTTCTGGAGGTGGGTGGGTAAATGGAAGGGGGGGCTGGCCAGGGACTTGCCTAGCCCTGCCCTAGTCTGTTAAACTCCAGCCCATGTGCCATCATCTTGTCTTGGCCCCTCCCAGGATGAGGAGGGCCAGAGTATGCCCTTTGTGTACAAGCTGTGGGAACAGTACATGTTTGAAAAGGATGAGTACCTACATGAGCTAAAGCAGGAGCTGGGCCTGGAACTGTGAGTGACCCTGGGGCCCTCAGCCATGGACAAGTCCCACAGACTGGGTCACACGGTGGCGTCTCAAGCCCCTGGGTCTCCCTGAGTACTGAGCTTGCTGCTGGGCATTTTATGTTGCTCAAGCCCGGCAGAAAGGCATCCTGAGGCCTTGGGTGTGTGAGAGGGGGGTCAAAGCCTATCTATCTCTCCCTTCTCCTTTGGGGCAGCCGTGAGGAAGTGACCCTACCCAAGTTACGTGAGGCCCTGATGATCATCGATCCCAGCCTGGACAAGCAGACCCTGAACAGCTATTTGAATCAGGCCTTCCAGGTCTCTGTGACAGAAGTGCCAGAGGAGAGTGTGGAGAATGAAGAGAACATTGTGGCACAGCTCCGGACTATCCTGGAACGACTTCAAGTAATCGACATCAGGCGCAAGGGGGCTCGGGAGCAGGAGCCTACTATGGGCAGCTAACTCTTGGCTTTTAGTAAAAATTGTTTGTCTGAACCCATGCTATTCTCTGGGTTATTCCTGTGGAGTTAAGGGGAGGCGCTGGTCCCAGGATACTTACTAAAATACAACATATTCTCTCTGTGACACTTATTTATTTATTCCTCACCCAAGGGTATTTTTTCCATTGATTTCTAGAGTTTGGAAGGGAGGGAAGAGGGGGAGAGAGATAAACACCAACGTGACAAAGACACATCAATAGGTTGCCTCCACACACGCCCCTACCGAGGCTGGGAAACCTGCAAGGGAGGTAAATGACTTTGACTATGAATTGAACCTGCAAATCCTCATGGGCTAACACTCTAACCACTGAGAAAATTGGCCAGGGCATGACACTTTATTGATGGTGAGGCATAGTGAGGAGACCTGTCCCCAAGGGGCCCCCGATGGGGACAGGGTAGGTGTTGAAGTCTGACCACTACTGGGCAGGGAAGACGGTATTGCCACTGAATGCACAAGGAATGAGGAGCTGCCGGTACTCCAGGGGCAGGTGCTGCTCCACAAGCACATGCAGGGAGACTCGGTCAGTGACCAGGCCCTGCCTGCAGCAGAAGAGGATGGAGATAGACAGAATCAGTGTCAGCATTTCCGCACATAGAGCCTCCCTGCATCCATTACTTACCGCCGCATCAGCAGTTCCAGGTCCTCTAGCCTCACAGTCTTGCGGCCAGCGTGAGCAGCAAATACATCCAGGTCATCGCAAAGACGCTGGAAATACTTGTCCAGGCTGCCAAGGTTAGAGTACAGCAGACTGAACAGACTGTTTATAATGTGAGGGGCTTCTCTCCCCACCAAAGAGTCCAGAACTCACCATTTCTCCACCATCTCAAGAGCTTTCTTCTCCATGGGCATTTTAGCATAGAAACTGAAGAGCTTAGCATAGTGGCTCAATCCCATCTTATAAGGATCTTGTCGGAGTCTGGGGCCAGCAGTTCGGACACGGGTAGGAAGCCTGGCCGATAGAGGCTCTGCAGATAACCTGGGGGCAGACATGAACTGCTGCCTGCAGAGGCCCTAATCAAACATAAATCCTGCTGACTCCTGCTAAGACTAGGGCCCCTGTCTTAGCAGGAGCCAGCAGCTCCAACCATCTGCTGGGGGGAATGGGACAAGGGGCCATGTAGAGGCCTGGTCTTTCCCTGGGGCCCAGATCCTCCACAGTCTGGACCCACTGTCCCTGTTTAGCCTCATCATACAAGCTGGTACTTGCTCAGGCCCAAGACCCTTAGGCCGTGGCATGGGCATTCCCTCTTTTCAGCACATTGCTGCCTGTCTGATTCTGCTAATCCTCCTCCAGGAAACCGTTTCTGACTATATACTGACATGGCCACTTCCCCCTACTCAGGCTCCTCTCAGCCCCTAGAAGCAGGCACCAGGACAGATGTGCTCTCCGTGAGCACCATCCAGCCCATGTAAAGGTGCTCTGCAGGTTAATCATATGCATACCTGTAGGAAGAGGGATAACACTACGGTGCCAATGCCAACCACAGTGCCTGTCCCTTCCCAAGAGGCCCATGTGGAACAAGGTCATGGAATCTTACCCTGCAGTACTAGTCGATGGGGCTGGCTCAAGGAACTCAAGTTGCCTGGCCTGAGGAATGTCCGGGGCGCTGGAGGCCAACTCTGGCCTTGCTGCGGAGAAAGGCCTGTCTCACACAATCCTGAAAGCCTATAGCCTCCTTGTCCTGTTCACTGAGGGCCCCATCTAGTTCCAGCCAGCCAGCCAAGGGGCACCCCAGAATCTCCCTGGGCCACCACTTCCTGTGCTCAGAAACAGAACTCAGTCCAGTTGGCATAGCTCAGTGGTTAAGCATCAACCTATGAACCAGGAGGTCATGGTCTGATTCCCAGTAAGGGCATATGCCTGGATTGTGGGCTCAAACCCCAGTGTGAAGCAGCATGCAGGAGGCAGCCCATCAGTGAGTCACTGATATTTCTGTCCACCTCTCTTTCCCCCTTCCTCTCTGAAATCAATAAAAATGTATTTTTTAAAAAGGAAAAGAAATAGAACCTAGTTAACCATTTCTAATGCACTAAAAATGAAATACCATGTTTTTGTTACTATTTTACTCTGGTGTTTTACTTTTTGGTTGTAACTGGTGTTTTACTTTTTGGTTGTAACTTATTAAATATAATCATATGCTGTTTTTAGAAAGAAAAAAAAAAAAGAAAGAAAGAAAGAAATAGAACTTAGATAAGGCCTTCCTCCAAGGCCAGGGGCTGAACACAACAGTTACCCCACTCACCCCGATCCCTGCACTGGGCCCCTTACCTGTCCTACCTTCAGCGTCCTTATCCCTTGAAGATCTTTCTGGCTCCTTGGCCTCAATAGCCCCCCAGGCTCCTTCTGCTTCTGTCACTTCCATGTGTGCCTCAGGCTCTTCTGCTCTGGCAGATGCTTGTGCTCCTGCTGCTTCTTTCACTTCATCCAAGCTCATGCTTTCTTCCATTATTTCCTCTACCTCCTCACCATCTCTATCCAATAAGGGCTTTAGTTCATCTTCCGCAGAGGTACCATTGCTGGTGTTTGGGAAGCCCATAGCAAGGGCATCAACCTTCTCTGCCTTTCCTGCCAGAAGCTGGGCTGGTTTCTCAGGACCTGAATCAAGGGGAGAGAATATAGACTAGAGAAGCAGTAGGTCAAGGCTGTAGCTCTGAAAGGGTAAAGATGGAATAGTAAAACCCAGTCTAGCCCTCAAGGAAGAAGGCCAGAAGTACTGGTTTGGAGTCTCCTGGCCTAACACTGACTCTGCCCTTGGATGGAGGAGAAACCAACAGCCATAGGACTCTGCGGGGCACACTTATGGACCTGAGGAGGGGAAAACCACCAGTGCCAATGCTTGCCCAAGCCTGGCTTGCCTCCAGGCCACCTGTCCCACATACTCACTGTTGTTCTGCAACCCAGGCCCACTGCTCCGTGTCCTGCGACTGACAGTCCTCTCAGCAGAGAGAGAGGGATGGGGGAGGGAGTGGTGCACACTGGGGGAACGGCCAATCAAAGGCTGGGAGAAAGGCTGAGTGTCCTCCAACACGGTGTCCGTTGGCAGGGTAGCAACAGGGGTTCTGTCACCTGGAGATCAAGGACCAGATGGCACTCAATGTATTCCTGCTGCTACCAAGCCACCATAGCCTGGTCATCAGGGGGCCCCATAAGTCTACCCCAAGTAGCCTTCAGAGAAAGAAGACTACATAGCAGTCTAAGCCTTGTCTCCCTAATACAGCTCTCCTTGCTTACCTTCCTGCTCCTTAGTCTGGAGCTCCCAGCTCCATTGCTTGCACCCAAACTGCTCATCCATGCCTCCACTCTCCACTTCTTACTCTGCTCCCTCTACTGGACTTGTCTTCCGGAGTCAGGTTCCCAGATCAGCTTGAATGGCCAGCTGGTCCTGAAACGTGGCCCCTTTCAACCTCCCATCAAGCTCTAGCCACCCTTTCCTACCCTCAGCTTTGTAGCTCCTCAAGGACATAGGGTCCTGGAAGACCTTGAGGGACTAAGATTAGGTCCCACCAAGACAAGAGAACCTTATGGAAAGAAAGCAGAAACTCCTAATACTAGTAGACCTATTGGCTAGGCCAATGCTCAGCAAACTGCGGCTCGCAAGCCACATGCAGCTCTTTGGCTCCTTGAGGGTGGCTCTTCCACAAAATACCACGTGTGGGTGCACACGTACAGTGCGATTGAAACTTCGTGGCCCATACGCAGAAGTCGGTTTTCGGCTCTCAAAAGAAATTTCAATCGTGGTACTGATGATATTTGGCTCTGTTGACTAATGAGTTTGCCGACCACTGGGTTAGGCTTGTTCACTGCCCTTGATCCATTAAAGAGGAAAGCAACTCTGGACTCAGCAGCACCTTCTATCTGTCATGAGGGAAAGCTTTCCCCGCAGGCTGGCAAGAGGGAGATCTCAACCTTACCTGGCAGAGCCGTGGCCACAGAAGTATCTTGCAGATCCTGCAAAAATATATCCACATCTACAGCTCGGCGTGGAGGAGGTCTGCGGGACAAACCCGGCCTCTGCACTGATTGTGGCAGGAGAGGCGTGGCAAAGGTCAGGTTGAGGGAGCTTGTGGGAGAGAAGTCACAAAGGAAAGTCAGCTGCTTGAGGCCTAGTTTCCCACCTCTCATTTCTCTATCTGCCCTGGTGCTTTCGTCTTCTAGAACACAGCTACCATGCTGTTAATTGGCAGTGAGCAGTATGGTCAGAATCTAGTCAGCACCTTCCCCTTCACCCCAAGCCTCTCCTCAACCAACCCCCAGGAGGGGCAACTGTACCTGGTGAGGGAGGAGGCACCAGTATTCGCAGGAGGCTCCGTAACAGGCTCTAAAAAGAAAAAACTGTAAGTTACCCAGGCTCAGGCTAGCCCTCCCTCAGGCCTCCTAAGCCTCCACAGAAAATAGGAGAGAGGGCAGCCATAGGTGTTGTCCAGGGCCTCACCTTGGGAGAGAGGCAGCCCCTGGTCCATTCCTTGCTGAAACTCTGACAATCTCAGCCTCTTCTTCCTCTTTCCAGAAGTCAGCAGACTTGGAGCCATGGCTGTGGGGGGGTTGAGCTCAGGAAGTTGCAGGTCCGGACTATAAGGATGGAACTAATCTCAGACAGGCCAGGAGGCCCACATATGGCTTTTAGGACCCCCAAGAAAGCTTCCTCATCAGAGCGGTCTAACAGCCCAGCCCCAAATAGGGAATTCACTGTGCACCTGCCAGGACTGCTTTCCCGGCTAGACAACTGGACCATCTGCGGTGCTGGCACTGGCTTCACCACTGACTCTGGCATGACCATGGAAGATTCCGGGGCTGTAGAAATAACAAGAAGAGGGTGGGACTGGGAGGACAAGCTGTCCTGAATAAGGCGATACCATGGGCCGGTGCCTAACTCTGACCAGCAAACCAGTGCTCACTTACCGGTTAATAGGATATTCTCAAGCAGAGTCCGGGGTGTCTGTTCCTTCAGCTGTCCCTTGGTTTGAATGTGGGGGGCCAATCTGCCAATAGACTTTAGGCAAGATTCCCTCAAGGTGGGCTCAAGAGCAGAGCTAGCCGAAACCGGTTTGGCTCAGTGGATAGAGCGTCGGCTTGGGGACTGAAAGGTCCTGGATTCGATTCCGGTCAAGGGCATGTACCTTGGTTGCAGGCACATCCCCAGTAGGGGGTGTGCAAGAGGCAGCTGATCTGTTTCTAACTATCTCTCTTCCTCTCTGTATAAAATCAATAAAATATTTAAAAAAAAAAAAAGAAAAAAAAAAAAAAGAGCAGAGCTAGACCTCAGGGGCCCCTGAAGGCAGCACAGCCCTACAGGGGTCAGTGGTTTGGGCACTTACCCTGGCTCTGTGGGACTGCCGCCTGGGAGTTGTCTTTGTTTGGCTCCTCAACCTCATAGAGAAAGGTGATTCAGGCTGGGCTCTCTGGACACTGTATAAAGAGCAGCGGCTCTGAGAATTACCTAGTAAAGGGAGCTAGGGGCTGCAGAGACATGTCTTCATCAGGGATCTTAGCCTGAAGACTTTCTCTCAGGGCCAAGGATCCAGAAACCTCTTCCAAGCTCTACGTCACCAGGGTTGTGGATGAAAGGGAGCCCAAGGGGTATGGGAAGGGAGAGAATATGACCCAGTCAGAGACAGGGGCTGAGGAAGGCTTCACAGAGGTGACGCTGGCAGAAGTAGGGGTTAGTCACACAGACCAGAGGAGTCATTGGAAGTGTATCCATTCCAGCCATTAAAATAACAACCTAAGAAAGATATTGATGCCTGACTGGTTTGGCTCAGTGTATAGAGCGTCAGCCTGCGGACTGGGGGGTCCCGGGTTCGATTCTGGTCAAGTGCATGTACCTTGGTTGCAGGCACAACCCCAGTGGGGGATGTGAAGGAGGCAGCTGATCCATGTTTTGACTCTCTATTCCTCTCCCTTCCTCTCTGTAAAAAAATTAATATATACATATTTAATATATTTTATTGATTCTTTACAAAAAGGAAGGGAGAAGGAGAGAGAGTTAGGAACATCGATGAGAGAGAAACATCAATTAGCTGCCTCCCCCACAGCCCTCACTGGGGATGTGCCTGCAACCAAGGTACATGCCCTTAAACAGAATCGATCCTGGGACCCTTGAGTCCACAGGCCGATGCTCCATCCACTGAGCCAAACCAGTTAGGCAATATATATGTATTAAAAAAAAAAAAAAAAAGATAGCCGAAACCGATTTGGCTCAGTGGATGGAGTGTCGGCCTGCGGACTGAAAGGTCCCAGGTTCGATTCCAGTCAAGGGCATGTACCTTGGTTGCGGGCACATCCCCAGTAAGGGGTGTGCAAGAGGCAGCTGATCGATGATTCTCTCTCATTGATGTTTCTAACTTTCTATCCCTCTCCCTTCCTCTCTGTAAAAAAATCAATAAAATATATTTTTTAAAAATAAAAATAAAATAAAAAAAAAAAATAAAAAAAAATAAAAAAATAAAAAAATAAAAAAATAAAAAAATAAAAAAATAAAAATAAATACAAAAGAAAGATATTTATGTTTAAACTTGTCGGGGGCCTGACAGCAACCTCCCCGTGGATCACTCTGGCCCTAGTCTCTCCAGTCCAAACCCTCTGATTCGAGATCCACATAAAGGTTCCCAGGGCACAGCTAGCACCTCAGCGACGTAGGTCTAAAACCTGTCACGAATGGCCTTCCATTGCCCATAAAGGAACTGCACTGCCCCAGTCTGGCCGCGACGGCTACCACGCGTGAGCTCATCACAGCCGTCACCCGCTGACACCCACCACATCAGCCAAATCCCTGTTCCCTAGCAAAGCACCTTTCCCAGTTCCTGCCTCCCTTCCGCCCGGGCTGTGCTCTCCAGCTCCTGATGGGAAAGGAGGGACCACTCAGGAAGTAGTTGAGGGCAGATGCCTCCTCCACACACTCTGGGCTGGTTTGGGAGAGAGGGCAGGGCAGAGAGCCGGATTCTGAGCGCCCACCCTTCACTCCCAGAGGTGGACCTCCCTCTGGGACAGGCGCGGGCACAGCTGATCTCTCCGCGGCCTGGAGTCCCGAGGGGTGGGGCACACCTCGCTGACCCAAGCCCAGATAAGGAAGTGGGACAGGTTCTCGGAGCCTTGAGCTCTGCAACTCTCCGAGGCTCAGTTTCCTTCTCCAAACTGTGTCCGCGCCGGATGACGCCCACACCCCACCCGCCAGGTCCGTCGGTTGTTCGAGTCCGGGGCAACGCCTTCCTCACCCAGCCCGAGTGCTCTGGCGTCGCCGCGGGGTGCGCGGGGCCTCGGTGTCCAGCACGTGTCGCAGCAGCGTTCGCGTCGTAGGCTCATTGTCAGAGAGGTCGCTGTCCGCCATCCTCTCAGGTGTCCGTCCGCCTCCCAACCGCTGCAGTAGTCGAGGCTGCCACCTTCCCGCCGCCGCCTTTGAGCCTACTCTCGCGAGACTGCCGCACAGCTCCACGGGAATTGTAGTTCTATCCTTACAGTGGCATGGGGCGTGTGCAAAGGTGCCTTACACGTTCTGAATTTGCAGGGAGTTTTACCTGGCAGTGATCCTGGGCAAATGTGTGCAACCAGCCGAGGCCTGGTTTCCTCATCTGTAAGTTGAGGATGATGCCCACCTTATAATGGGCTTGAAATGATTCAGGGAGATAAAGTTTACCTCAGGATTTGACACATATGAAGTCAGGCCATCAAAAAATGGTAGTCACTTGTTATTAGAATATCTTTCATTCCCTTCTCCCTCTCGGAAGGTGAGGAGAGACACTTGGGGGAGGCAAAATAATCTCATTCTAAATGAGGTTGGTCAGATTTGCTTTGGTAAACACCACTCTATCTGTAGGTTCATTATCAAAAGTGGCCAACTTGTAGGCTCCCAGACTAGTGGGCTGTTTGATCTCCAAACATGGGCAATTTTGATATGAACTTCAGCTCTCAAAAGTTCTGTCAATGCTAGAGATTCTATTATCATATTTTTCACTGATTGACAGCCCCCTCCCCTTTGTTAAACTTTCATGGAAACTGATGTAGAACTTGAGTTCTGTGTCTCCCATGTTGTCCTTTTGCTCCTAGATCAGGTGTATAGTACCAGTTAATCAGACAGGCATGGGCATATTTGTGTTTATGTTAAAAAAATAAATAAATAAAGCAAAGAGCCTTTCCCTGCTGATAGTGCTCTCGCAAACATGGTGAACGTTTCTAAAACCTGCCGAACTTTCTGTAATAAGTGTGGCAAGCATCAACCCCACAAAATCAGTACAAGAAGGGCAGGATTTTCTGTATGCACAGAGAAAGAGGTGTTATAACAGGAAGCAAAGTGGCTATTGGTGGGCAGACTAAGCCAATTTTCCAAAAAAAAGGCTCAAACTACAGAGGAGATGGTGCTGAGGCTTGAATGTGTTGAACCTAACTACAAAACTAAGAGAATGCTGGCCATTAAGAGATGCAAGCAGCCGAAACCAGTTTGGCTCAGTGGATAGAGCGTCGGCCTGTGGACTGAAAGGTCCCAGATTCGATTCTGGTCAAGGGCATGTACATTGGTTGCGGGCACATCCCTGGTGGGGGGTGTGCAGGAGGCAGCTGATCGATGTTTCTCTCTCATCAATGTTTCTAACTTTCTACCCCTTTCCCTTTCTCTCTGTAAAAAAAAAAAAAAAAAAAAAAAAAAAAAAAAAAAATCAATAAAATATATTTTTTTAAAAAAAAGAGAGATGCAAGCAGCCCTGGCTGGCTTGGCTCAGTGGATACAGTGTCAGCCTGTGGACTTAGGGGTCCCAGGTTCGATTCCAGCAGGGAGAACATGCCTGGGTTTTGGGCTCGATCCCCAGTTGGGGGGCATGCAGGAGGCAGCCACTCAATGATTCTCTCTCATCATTTATGTTTCTATCTCTCTATCCCTCTCCCTTCTTCTCTGAAATAAACATAAATAAATAAATAAATAAATAAACAAACAAACAAATAAATAAAGCTACCCTGTTTCCCCGAAAATAAGACAGTGTCTTATATTAATTTTTGCTCCCAAAGATGCGCTAGGTCTTATTTTCAGGGAATGTCTTATTTTCAGGGAATGTCTTATTTTTCCATGAAAAAGAATACGGTACACATTTATTGTTAAATGAAAATAAAGAAATTTATTACCTGTATAAGGTACAGTAGTACGGTAGTTGTCAACACAAACCAGACAAACTGTGAATCCTATGGTATCATGAATTTACTCATTTATTCAATGACAATCATGTCATCATCTTCTGGAACATCATCATAACAATCCAATTCCTAAATTTCCTGCTGAATTTCTTGTGACTCCATTTCTTTCAGAATCAGTGGACCAAATCTCTCATGTTTAGCCTGGGGGGGCCTTATTTTTTTGAGGGGGAGATGTCTTATATTTCACTCAGAAAAAAACCTATAAGCAGGTCTTAGTTTCGGAGGATGTCTTATTTTCAGGGAAACACGGTAAGAGCCCTGGCTGCTTTGACTCAGTGGATAGAGCGTAGCCTTCAGACTGATGGTCCCGGGTTCTATTCTGATCAAAGGCACATGCCCAAGTTGTGGTATTTTTTTTTAATTGATTTTTTTTTAGAGAGGAAGAGAGAGGGATAGAGAGTTAGGAACATTGACAAGAATCATCTTTCAGCTGCCTCTTGCATACCCCCTACTGGGCATGTGTCTGCAACCAAAGTACATGCTCTTGACCGGAATCAAACCAGGGACCACTCAGTCCGCAGGTCAATGCTCTATCTACTGAGCCAAACTGTTTTTGGCCAAGTTGTGGTCTTGATCCCCAGTAGCGGGCATGCAGGAGGCATCCAATCAGTGATTCTCATCATTGAAGTTTCTGTCTCTCCCTCTCCCTTCCTCTTTGAAGTCAATTCAAATATTAAAAATAAATAAAACAAAGAAAAAAAATAGAATCTTGCTTCTCAAAATAAGAGAACTGCAGAAGAAAAGCATGTCAATATTTCTTGTCAGTTAGATCTGACCTCTGGGTTATCTCACTGAGTTTGCTATTCCTTTCCAGGCACTTGTCCATGGTCGCCATGAATCACTTAAGGGCAAGACTTTACGATAAAGCCTTGAACTGGCCTGGCTGGCGTAGGTCAGTGATTGAGCATGACCTATGAACCAGCAAGTCACAGTTCTATTCCCCATTCCTGGACAAGGCACATGCCAGGTTTCCGGCTTGATCTCCAGTAGGGGGCATGTAGGAGACAGCAGTTCAATGATTCATCATTGATGTTTCTCTCTTCCTCTCTGAAATCAATAAAAATCAATTTAAAAATATATTTTATTGATCCTTTTACAGAGAGGAAGGGATAGAGATAGAGAGCTAGAAACGTCAATGAGAGAGAAACACCGACCAGCTGCCTCTTGCACACCCTTTACCGGGGATGTGCCCACAATCAACGTACATGCCCCCTGACAGGAATCGAACCTGGGACCCTTCAGTCCGCAGACCAATGCTCTACCACTGAGCCAAACCGGTTTCGGCAATAAAGATCTTTTTTTTTTTTTTTTTTAAAAAAAGCCTTGATCTTGATAATATGGAAAAACACAAAATTCTTTTTTTTTATTTTTAATTATTATTTTAAAAAATCTTTTTATTGCCGAAACCGGTTTGGTTCAGCAGTAGAGCATCAGTCTGCGGACTGAAAGGTCTCAGGTTTGATTCTGGTCAAGGGCATGTAGGTTGGTTGCGGGCACATCCCCGGTAGGGGGTGTGCAAGAGGCAGCTGGTCGATGTTTCTCATCGACGTTTCTAGCTCTTTATCTCTCTCCCTTCCTCTCTGTAAAAAAAAAAAAAAAATCAATAAAATATTTTATAAAATATTTTTATTGATTTCAGAGAGGAAGGAAGAGAGAGATAGAAACATCCATGATGGGAGAGAATCATGGATCAGCTGCCTCCTTCAAGTCCCTCACTGGGGATCAAGCCCACAACCCGGACATGTTCCCTTGACCGGAATCGAAGCTAGGACCTTTCAGTTCATAGGCCAATGCTCTATCCACTGAGTCAAACCGACTAGGGCTATATATATATTTATTTGAGAGTGAGAAGGCGGGGCGGGGCCCGCTCCCGACTCCATTTTGTACTTTGAGGCAACTCCCAACTCCATTTTGTGTAACTGGACCCTAATCCTAACCCAACCAATCAGGGTCAGCCAAAGTAGTGACATCACCACCCCTATAAAAAACATTGATATGTTACATTCTTTCTCTCTCCCGACATGTAAGTGGGACGGAGTTGGGACTAGTCCAAAATAAAGACAGGCTTTCTGCAATTGCATTGGATTCGGCTCCCTGGTAGTCTTTTGGGGATCATGGCACTTGGGCACAACAAGAGAAAGAGAGAGGGAGAGAGAGATAGAAACATCAATGAAGAGAAAGAATCATTGATCGGCTGTCTCCTGCATGTCCCACATTGGAATTCAAGCCCACAACTCCAGGACCAGGAGTCCAACCATGACCTCCTGCTTTATACCTCGACACTCAACCCCTGAGCCATGCCTGACAGACCAAAAATTCTTTTCAAAACAGTTTGAGACTATTCTATGTTTTTACATGACAAGCTCAGGGAAGGCCTGCATAGCGGCCTTACAAACTCAGAGACCTAAAGTAACCACAACTTATGGTCTGAAATTAAACTTCAACTAAAAGCAGTTAAGGTGGGTAGTTATATTCTAGGCCAGTATCTTCCCAGACAAGTTATCTTTACCTTAACTGAGCTTATCTGCCTTTTTGCATATACATAACAAATCCTTGAAAAGTCTGAGTAACTTGTAACTTCCCTTTTTCCCAGGCCCCCTGGGCACAACCTGCTGTGTCTGGGCAGATACCACAAATCCAATTCCTTACTATTATGTTAATTATTCCTTAACCCACCTACGTACTTTTCTTTTTCTTTTCTTTTTTTGACAAACCCTGTGTTGAGGGCTGACTCTACGTACTTTTTATCCAATCCTAGGGGTGCCCCCCACCACACACACACTGTGCTTTCACCTGCCTCTCTATCTAATCTATCACCAATGGATTTCATGTAACCCACCTTACGTCCCTTCCTTTGATTGCAATGAATAAAAATAGAGAAACCTCCATTCTCTGGGGCATTATCCCAATCCGTTTGAGATATTGTTTCCTGGCAATTGGCCACAGTTTGGCTCAAATAAACTCAAAATTTCTTTACAGGTTTGAATGTTTTTTCACATTAACAGGTCAAACTATATTTACTACTTGTTTAAAAAAAATTGGGTTCATGAAGTGAGGGAAGGAGTCAGAGATTGGCAAGGGCTGGACCACGTGAGTCTCACAGGCTCTGAAAAGAGTTTGGACATTATTCTAAATGCAGTAGGCCACTGGAGGGATTTAAGCAGAGGTATTATGTAATCACATTTTCTTTGGCAGAATGACCTTTCGGGGGAGGCAGGAATGGAAGTAGGGAGACTTTTGCCCTGTTCCCGCCTTTCTCCAGAAGTGACAAGATAAAGGGTGAGGTGACAAGATAAAGGACAGTAGGAGGGAAGAAAGCCAGGCATTCAGATATGTGTTGGGAGGGTAGAGGATTAAATGTAGATTAAAAGTGATTTTATGTCCTAGAAGGTAGAGGTTGTTTTTTTGTTTTTTTGTTAATCCTCACCTAAGGATATTTTTCCATCAATTTTTTAAATTTATTTATTCATTTTTTTTTTAGAGAGGGAAGGAAGGGGAAGAGGCTCACTTCCATTGACTGCCTCCGGAAAGGCCCTCACTGCTGGGGATCTACAACTGAGATACATGCCATTGACTAGAATCAAACCCAAGATCTTTCAGTTATTGGGCACAGCTCTAGCCACTGAGCCAAACCAGCTAGGGCTAGAAGGTAGAGTTCTATTTAGCATAACGGAAATTATATCGATTTATCTTCTCACCAATATATTTTTTTCTTTTTTAAAATATATTTTATTGATTTTCTAGAGAGGAAGGGAGAGGATACAGAACCAGAAACATTGATGAGAGAGAAACATCAATCAGCTGCCTCCTGCACACCCCCTACTAGGGATGTGCCCTCAACCAAGATACAAGCCCTTGACCAGAATTGAACCTGGGACCCCTCAGTCTGCAGGCCGATGCACAATCCACTGAGCCAAACTGGTCAGGGCTCACCAATATTTTTTGAGCAAGATAGATATTGAGATAGATAGGAGTAGGAACCTATCAGTAACTGTATGACAATGAAAATAAATAACGTATAGAATGAGCTTTTGCTGAATTTTATCTCTACTTTACATATTACATAAACATTTAATCATAACAAAGTATGTATTTGTTACCATTGTATAAATGATTGACCCAAATGAATGTACATTTTTCTCTATGGGCTACACATACCAGAGAATGTATTTCTGAATTTGAAGGATTCAAGCTGTGGACATCAGCTGCATAGGCCAGGAGGGATGGGACAGTCTCCTGTAATGGGTCTGTGAAACCCTTTGTCCCCACACTGTCCTGTATTTGTCTACATTTTAAGCAAAAAACAACAAAATAATAATAATGATAACAATAGTAGTAATAACATTAACTTGGAATGTTATTATTTTCTTTTGCAAGCTTCTAAATGCCCAATCTATTTTGTATTTATAGCAAATGATTATAAGTAATATATTCTAGGCTTCAATTTCATACCCATGGTCTATAACTAGGGAGAGAGAAAAAAAAAGAGGAGAAAGAGTCAGGATAAAGGTGAAGAAGAGCAAGAAATAGGACAAAGGGGGAGGCAAAGGAGGACTTGGTGCAGGTAATTCCCCTGGAGGACTGCCTGGCCTCCTTCCTGGTTTTCTACAGCTTCTCTTGCCCTTTAGAATATTTCCCCATAGAAGTGGAAGGAGGAGGGAAGTTTCTAGTTACAATGCAAATCCTATCCATCCTTTTCTTTAATATCCTTCAACAGTTCTCAGTCGCTTACAGAATAAAATCCCAAATTTTTATATGGCCCAATTTGGTATCTTTAAGCGGCTTCTGCTACCCCAGCCACCACCTTGCAAGTGCTTTAAGAGCGGAGCCTAGACCTAACTGGTTTTGCTCAGTGGATAGAGCGTTGGCCTGCAGAATGAAGGGTCCCAGGTTTGGTTCTGGATAAGGGCACATGCCAGGGTGGTGCCAACCTTTTCCTCTTTTTTTTTTTTTCTTCCTGAACCTCCACTTCCCATTTTTTTCTCCATCCAGTTAATTCCTGTGGATCGTTTATTTATGTGATTAGACATTCTTTCACTTCTATTATCCAAAAGTCGGGCCCTCAACCCCAGCCTGTTTGGTTCTTGCTAGGTTCCCAAATCCCGGCCCTGTGATTGGCATACAATAGGCACCTATTGGTCATTGTTTCAGTCAATAAGTGAATCAACCCAAGCAGCGGCTGTGTCGGGGGAGAGCCCCAACGAAGAGAAAAAGGATCCCATGGTCTTAAGGGGTGCCCCGGCCCAGGTCCGGCTAATATACTGCTGCAGGAACGCCTTCGCCTTCGCCTTTGGCAAGGAGTACCACCTCGCCCGAATGCTGGTCCGCAGTAACTCAACCTCTCCTGTGGGCGGCGCTCCAAGCCGCAGTCGCCTAGTTCATCGCAAGGCATTGCGGAACTTGTAGTTTCCGTAGGCATATGCCCAAAGCGCTTGCGCATCGGAGGAGCGCGCGCCGTCAGGGTTTTGTTTTTTTTTCAAAGCGAGATCCAGGCGACAGCGTTCCAACCGAATACACCTCTCTAATCCACTCTGATTGAGCCAGCTCTGGAAAGAATCTCCTCTACGGGGGTCCTGGCGGTTCCCTGAAAAGCGGCCGGAATAAGCACACCCCGCCCCGGAAGTAAGAGGCTTCTGGCGCGGTGCATTGTGGGGGGCGTAGTCCTCCTTCTCAGGCGGTCCTTCGCGGCGTCCCCGGGGCCGACTCCCGAGCGCAGGCGGGCGGCCTGGCGGGCTGCGCGGCGCGGGCCGGCGGGAAGCGTATTCTGGGCACGGGGTGCCGGGCCGGCCGGCCGCGCTGAACGGCAGTAGTGGGAAGCCACCCAAGGCCTCGCGCGGCGCCGCCCGTCGAGGGGCGGGCGGCGGCAGACAACCGGGCCGTCGAAGAGTTCAGGAGGCCGGTGGGCCGGGCCGCGCGGCGCAGCCATGCCAGGCTTTACGTGTTGCGTGCCGGGCTGCTACAACAACTCGCACCGGGACAAGGCTCTCCATTTCTACACGTTTCCCAAGGACGCTGAGCTGCGGCGCCTCTGGCTCAAGAACGTGTCTCGCGCTGGCGTCAGTGGATGCTTCTCCACCTTCCAGCCCACCACGGGTCACCGTCTCTGCAGCGTCCACTTCCAGGGCGGCCGCAAGACCTACACGGTACGCGTCCCCACCATCTTCCCGCTGCGCGGCGTTAACGAGCGCAAAGTAGCACGCAGACCCGCGGGGGCCGCAGCCGCCCGCCGCAGGCAGCAGCAGCAGCAACAACAGCAGCAGCAACAGCAGCAGCAGCAGCAGCAGCAGCAGCATCCACCGCCGTCAGCTGCCCAGACCGCCCAGCTGCAGCCGAACCTGGTGTCTGCTTCTGCGGCTGTGCTCCTCACTCTTCAGGCGGCTGTGGACAGCAGCCAGGCTCCTGGATCCGTGCAGCAGGCATCCACTGCTCCCACCGGTGATGATGTGAAGCCCATCGATCTGACGGTGCAAGTGGAGTTCGCGGCCGCAGAGGGCGCAGCCGCCGCAGCTGCCGCGTCCGAGCTAGAAGCTGCCACCGCCGGGCTGGAGGCTGCCGAGTGCGCTATGGGCCCCCAGTTGGTGGTCGTGGGGGAAGAGGGCTTCCCTGATACTGGCTCCGACCACTCGTACTCGTTGTCGTCAGGCACCACGGAGGAGGAGCTCCTGCGCAAGCTGAACGAGCAGCGGGACATCCTGGCGCTGATGGAGGTGAAGATGAAGGAGATGAAGGGCAGCATCCGCCACCTGCGTCTCACCGAGGCCAAACTGCGCGAAGAGCTCCGAGAGAAGGATCGGCTGCTGGCCATGTCTGTCATCCGCAAGAAGCACGGGATGTGAACGGGTCCCCCTGGGACTCCCCGGGCCCTGCCAGCCCAGGATGCCTGCAGGCCGCCATTGCGAACTCGCCTATACTCCTGGGACACTGGTTGACTGTACTGAGGCTTAGGGCAGCTGGACTGTTGCTGGTGACTTGGCACCCTTGTTGTTTCCTCTTGAAGTCTGGGACCTTGGACTCTGCTCTGGTGACACCAGCAATTAATGACTTTGTTTCCCCTACATCCCTGTCTGTCTCCTGTTAATGTTGTGGGTTCTGGTTAAGCAGAGGCTTAGGAACTGCTGAACTTGAAACTTACCCGGTAGGGAGGCAGGTGGGATGCCCAAGGACTGTGGTTTTGGGAAGACAACACCTTGAGGTTTGCCAGCAATCAGAGACAGCTCTTCTGTGTGTAGTGATAAGGGAGCCAAGTGACATCAGTTCTCCTTTTCATGCTTTTCTTTCCCAGGGGCAGCCTGTGATTCTGGTGGAAGCTGGCAGATCTGTGCCTCTGCCTCCCAGGACCTCCCTCTGCAGGAGGCCATCTGTAAGGGGATCTAGGTGACATGCTGATGGAGATCCAGCTTGCCAGGGACTTAGGTTTATCTTGTTATGTTTGCTACTGGTTACAAATTCTATTTTCTGTACAATTAGTCAGACTAAAGTTTTCACTGTGTTTGTTTGGCAAAATGAATTAAACAGAAGGTAAGGTTTTTACTTGGGTTTCGCCGTTTTATTTTTATAAGGATTCAGCTAAGTGGCTCTGAAACATGGGGGAAATAGGCCAAGGCCTGGTCTCAAGGAACAGGCTGATTCGGAGCAGAGATGGTCTCCATAAAGGTGTCCTAAGCACAAGGACCCTGGCCTCTTAAGGTCCTCACAGACTTACTGGCTCAAAATGGTCCCAGTTTGTCCATGGGTGAGCAGCCTGTATTCTTTTAACAGGGGGAAGGAACAACTGGGAACTAAAATGAATTGTGACAGTTTGCTTCTCTGAGGGTTTTGAATTCCCAGGTTATCAGGCAGGGTTGAATTTTGCCCACCATTGTAGCCCTTAGTCCTGGTACAGTGTCTAATCCACATAGGCATTCAATTACTCAAATCAGTGAGGACCACAGTGAGAACCAGCCATTTTGGCGCCTGCAGGCACAAGGACTCTTGTACAAATACCTTTCGCCTTGGTACTCTCAGTATGAATTATCCATATAAGCTTTAAGGACCAGGAGTTGGGATTTGTGACTCGACTCATTTTCATGGCTGTTTGCATCTTTCTTAAGATTGGGTATTGTAGGGGTGAGATAACATTTGTATCTGTAGCTCCAAGTAATTTTGCTCAAATCCAGTAGGGAAAAGCAAATGCCTCTAAAGCTAGCCCTGTTTACTAACAGGGCAGAAATGGACAATTCTTGAGCTCCATAAAAACATCATTCCCTTCTCTGTTACTTATGGGCAAAACCACTTGCCTAGAGACTTTCCCTTTGGTTGCGAACTGAAAGGACTCTGAAATGTTCCTCAGTCTCTGCTCTTCTCTTTGGCACTGACTTGAGAAACAAGTTTTTGGTGGGGAGGCAGGGTGGGCATAGGTTGTATGGGTGCCTGGTTGGGGAAGAGACAGGATCTCTACCTTTCTAGGTTTCTGGCTAGTAACAGGTGGTGGGAGCACAGCAGTGCCCTTCGAGGCCAGCTGGAACTGAAACCTTTTGCTTTCAGCTATTGGCCAGTCTCTCACATGTCCTCACTCTTCCACTAGGAAGGATTCCCAGGCTCAGACCATGCTCTTTAGTGTATCTTCTAGCTCCATTTTGTTAAAGGGACTGAACACTGTTTCTGCTCTGGCACATGCGAACCTCTCAGCAGCACTCCCAGGACTTGAGTGAGGGCCAGGACTTGAGTCTCTGGAGGTAATGTGTACATAGTATTTTTGCTTCTTGGGAGGACAGCTCAGAGCAAGGGAGGTCCCAGATGCACCACAAGCAGGACAATGCAGAGTTCTTACTGGCTGAGTAATAAACATGAGGCAAAGTAGTACAGACCTGGAATTTAATAAGCTTGGCGTAGTCTTACCAGCCACCACTAGGAGGGTGGGGTCAGGTCAGGTCGGTGAAGGTTCAAAACTCTTCTGGAAGAACAGGATTACTGGGAGATCTCTGGCCTGGAGCTGCCAGGGGAAGCCTTGTACCTATGCCTCTTCCCCAACCCTGCACTGGTAAACTAGGGCATTTCCACCTACCCACCTGACCCAGAGGCTGGCCTTCCATGTTTGCGTTGCCCAGGAAACAACTAAAATAGGAGTTGAAAGGAAAGGGCAATCTGGTCATTTAAGTCACGAGGAAATGTGGGGTGAGCCAGATACTTCTCTTTTCTCATTAATAAAAATTAAACTTAGGCCGAAACCGGTTTGGCTCAATGGACAGAGCGTCGGCTTGGGGACTGAAGGGTCCCGGGTTCGATTCTGGTCAAGGGCATGTACCTTGGTTACGGGCATATCCCCAGTAGGGGGTGTGCAAGAGGCAGCTGATCGATGACTCTCTCTCATCGTTGTTTCTAACTATCTCTCTCCCTTCCTCTCTGTATAAAGTCAATAAAATATATTTTTTAAAAAAATTTTTTTTTAAATTAAACACTTAGTTGTCTGCCTGTACAAAAAAAAATGTTTTGGAGATTTTAGTTGTACACGTCTAAGAGAAATCTTGTCTGCAGCTGAGCCCCACCTTAAGGAACATTTCAGTCTACAGCCCGTGGAGAAAGTTGCCTGCTCGAAAAAGCCGTTTCGGGCCCGAATAGTGATGGGCAGGGCGCAGAAGCCATGGGTTCTGCCTCGGGTTGGCCTGGAGCACCTCCCTGAGCACTAAAGAGGAGGGGGGGTTCCCGAGCGGAAACGGCGCGGGCCCCTGGGAGGGACGGCTGGGCCGGCCTGAGGCCAACCTGGGATCCCCTGGAGGCGTGGCCAACCCTAGACAGCGGCGCAGCCTGGGTGGGGTCGGACTAGCTGGGACCTGGTGACAACAAGCCCTGACCCTCGCCTGGCGCCAAGTTCGGGTGTTCCAGAGGCTTCCGCTAGACCACAATTCTCAGGGGCTTGCCCCGGCAGCCGCCCTCCCGGGCTTAGTCTCACCTCCCGCGCTGCTGTCCGTGTCTGGGCCTCGGCGCAGAGCACGCCGGGAACTGTAGTTCTCTCTCGGAGTACCTATGCCCGAAAGGAGCGCGGGGAGGACTGCGTTTCCCAGAGTGCAGCGGGGGTCGCGAGGGAAGGTAGGGGGGAAGGGACAGTCGGTCGCCGACCGCGCTGGGTTGCCGCCGCCGCTGCCGCCATCGTGCCAGCCCCTCGGGTGAGTGTCGGGGTTAGCGTGCCGGGGCGGGGGCTGGGACGCAAGAGCCGCTCTCCCGGTTGCCTGGAGCCTCCGCTGCGAGTCCCCGGGCGGCCCCTCCCCTCCTCCCCCCCTGGCGGCCCGAAGCCGCGCGGGGCCGGGGCCATGTGTCGCGCGCGACTCCGCCTCCCGCCGGTCCTCTGAGGCGGCGGCTGGGGGAAGTACCGAGACAACCAGGCTTCTATCCAGGAGGTACCGTGCACATGGCGGAAGCACTGGACTGCGCTAGGATGGGTCTTTTTCTCTTGTCCAGACTATTCACACGGGGCTCTCCGGGCTCCGCCCCGTCTGGCCTAACCCGGCCTGCCCAAGTCCCGCAAGTTCTGCAGGCTGGTCAATGGGTCGACCCCAGCCCCACGTCCTGCTACCCACCTGCGGAGGATCCGGAGATGGGCAAGCATTCTCCAGCCCACTCCGGAGTCAGCATTGGGTAAGGGCTCCCGTCTACAGCAGCCCGGGCTTAGGACTCTTAACTCTGTTCCCGACCGGCCTGGCTGGGATGTAGGATGCTTGTCTACAAGCCCGCTGGGAGTCCACGAAGTCTAACTCCCCCTCCCAACTCTGGGACTCATCCGTAAGTTCTGCATGGAGGGGAGAGTCAAGTAATCTGGAGTTGGAGGGAGTTTCACGTGGGACTTCACCTCTGATCAGCCTTGGAAGATCTGGCCTGATGTGATGCGGCAGGTCCAGGTTGGATGGTTCAGCCCCCGCCCTTCTCTTTCTTTCTCTCTCTCTCTCTCTCTCTCTCTCTCTCTCTCTCTCTCTCTCTCTCTCTCTCTCTCTCTCTCTCTCTCTCTCTCTCTCTCTGTGACCAGGTTCCAGCTGTGGTGGCTTGGCCAGCCGTTTTAGTGGAGGAAGGAAGCCAAGGAGGTGAGGTTAGATGGCTGAGCCTCCAGCACAGTATTAGACCTCGGCACAGCCTAATCCTTATACCTGCCCCTCCCAGAGTTATGTGCCCTCCCATAGAGGAGAATGACTCCATAAGAATGATAAGAATGGCGGTGAAACGGTGGAATTCAAAGAAGGGGGAAGTGGAATCCAGGCCTGAGGGCCAGGAACCCAGTGCCAAACAAGAAACTCGACTGGGAAACACATTGGGGGTGAATCACATTTGGGCTGTGGGGCTCAGATACGGACTCTGAGGCCTTCTGAAGTTGGGGTAGCAGACCTAGAGCTGAAAGCTGCAGGAAGTCAGATTTCCCTCACTTGCATTCTCACTTCCCAGCTGCTGGATTGATTGGTGAACAGGCGTAAATTGGTTAGGCTTTAGGAAGTTGTCCTTGATGGCTCCAGGGACCCCTTAAGTTCTGGGAGGAGCGGAGTATCTAGCCATTGAGTAGTCCTCTGATAGGCTTTGTAAAGGTCCTTCTGATTGAATGGTTATATAATAGACCTGTCCAGAGAAGACTATGGGATTTTGGGAAGGCACAACTTGTCAAGCCTTGATCCCTCTGACCCAGTGTGGCTTCTGGGCCACAGTTCTCGTAGAAGAGTTGAGTTAGGCCCATGGAGCAGAAAGTCTCCATCTCTAGACTTTCCCTCCTTCCAGTGATTTTCCCCCCTGATCATTGGGCTTTAGCCTTGGAAGTTTCCTGCAGTTGAATTGCTCTATCTAGTCATTCTCATTGGTTAGGGAGGACAGGCAAGGGTTAGAC